AATAATACAAACTATGTCTCCAACCACAATGGGGTAAAATTAGCAATCATTAACAGAAAAAAAATTTTGGAAAATTCACAAATATATAGAAATTAAATAACACAGTCTTAAATAACAATGGGTCAACGGAGAAACACAAGGGAAATTAGAAAAATCTAATGAAGTACCGTATGGTGACTAATATAACATAATAAAAAAAAAGAAAATATTTTTAGATGGATAAAAATAAAAGCACAACTACAAAAAATTATCAAATGAATCTAAAGCAGTGCCCAGAGGTAAATTTATAGCAGTAAACACCTATATTAAAAAAGAAGATCTCAAACCAATAACTTAACTTTCAACCTTAAGAAACTAGAAAATAAGAGAAATTAAACCAAAGGCAAACAGAGGGAAAGAAATTATAGTGGAAATAAATTATCTTTTCTTTGAAAAGTTCAACAAAATTGATAAACCTTTAGCTAGACTGACCAAGGAGAAAAATAGGAGACTCAAATTCCTAAAATCAGGAAGTTTTAAAAAGATCTCCTATATATCCAGACATATTAAAAAATAAAAATTAAAATAATTTTTTAATATTTATTTTAGAGACAGAGAGAGCATGAGTGGGAGGGGCAGACTGAGAGGGAGAATCTCACACAGACTCTGCTCTGAGTGCAAAACCCAATGTGGGGCTAGATCTCAGAACCCTGAAATGATGACCTGAGCCAAAACCAAGAGTCAGACATTCAAATGGCTGTGCCACCCAGGTACCCAAATTAAAATAATTTTTAAAAACTTTTAAAAAGGACAACACTACCAACTTTACATATATAAAAAGATTATAAAGGAATACTATGAACAATCGTATGCCAAAAAATTAGATAATCGTATGCTTAGACACAAACAATTGAAACTAACTCAAGAAGAAATAGAACATCTAAATAGACATATAACCAATAAGGAGACTGAATTAGTAATCAAAAACTTATCACAAAGAAAAGGCCAGGCCCAAATGTCTTCACTGGTGAATTCGACCAAGCATTTGGAGAGGAATCAACACCAATCTTTCCCAAACTCCTCCAAAATATAGAAAAGAAAGAAACACTTCCCAACTCATTTTGTAAAGCCAATATTATCCTGATACCAAAACTAAAGATATGCAGAAAAAAAAAAACTACAGGCCAATATCCATTCTGAATATATGGACACCAAAATACTAGCAAACAGAATTCAGCAACATATAAGAAGGATTATACACCATGACAAAGTAAAATTTATCACAGGAAGAGCAAGGTTGATTTGACTTACAAAAATCAATCAATACAATATAATACACTGTAGTAGAATAAAGGACAAAACCACATGACCATCTCTATAGATGCAGGAAAAAAATCCTTTGAAAATATTCAATGTCTTTCATGATAAAAACACTCAAAAACAGAAGAGAATGTCCTCAACTTGAAAAACAGCATCTACGAAAAAACAGAGCTTACATTATACTTAATGGTGAAGGTCTGAATGTTTTTTCCCTGCAATCAAAACAAGATGAGGATGTCCTCTCTCATCAGTTCTATTCAACATTTTACTGGAGGTTCCTGCGAGGGTAATTAGGCAAGAAAAAAAATAAAACATATCCAAATTGGAAAAGAAGAAGTAAAGCAGAAGATGACATGATCTTGTATACAGAAAATCCTAAGGAATAAACACACACACACACACACACACACACACACACTTAGAATAAACAAGTTCGGCAAGGTTTCCATATATAAGATCAATTTACAAAATAAATTCTATTTCTATACACTGGCAATGAACAATTCAAAGTGAATTAAGAAAATACAATTTCCAATAGCATAAAAAATTAAGATACTTAAGAATAAATTGAACAAAAAAGTGTAAAACTTACACTTTGAAAGCTATAAAACATTGTTGAAAGAAATTAAAGATCTAAACAAATGGAAAACTATCTCATGTTCATGGATCAAAAGATGTAATATTGTTAAGATACCAATATTCCCCAAATTGATCTACAGATTTGGTGCAATCCCTATCAGAGTCTCAGCTGGCTTCTTTGTAGAAATTGATAAGCTGACCCTAAAATTCAAATGGAATTGCAAGGAATCAAAAACAATCTTGAAAAGGAAGAACAAAGTGGGAGGACTCATGCTTCCCAATTTCAAAACTTAGTACAAAGCAGAAGTAATCAAGATAGTACTGGCTTAAGGATAGATATCTAGATGAATGGAATACAATTGAGAGTGCAAAAATAAACATATTTATGGTCAACTGATTTTGAACAAGAGTACCAAGACCATTCATGGGGGAAAGAATAGTCTTTTCAATAAATGCTGCTGGGACAACTGGATAACCCCATGCAAAAAAAAAAAAAATAGAAGCTGGACCCCTTTCATACCATATACAAAAATTAACCCAAAATGGATCACAGACCTAACCATAAGGGTTATAATTATTTATATATAATTAAAATATACATATAATTAAAATATATATATAATTAAAATATATATAAAATATATATATGAACATTTATCCAGAATATATTTTTAAAACTCTTAAAAGTAAAGAACAAAAAGACAACCAATTTCAAAACAGGCAAACAATCTGAAGACATTTCTCCAAAGGTGATACACAAATGGCTAATAAGTACATGAAAGAAATGATTGCTCAAAAACATCTGTCATCAGGGAAATTTATGTCAAACCTACAATGAGATACCACAGCACACTATTTAATCAAACAGAAAATAACAAGAGTTGGTGAGGATATGGAGAAAATGGAACCCTCTTACATTGCTGGTAAGAATGTAAAATGGTGCAGCATCTTTAGAAAATTTGGAAATTACTCAAAGTTAAATAGAGAGTTATCATATGGCCAATTAATTCTACGCCTAGGTGTATACCCAAGAGATTTGAAAACATAAGTCCACACAAAAAATGTATATGACTCTCATGGTTCATCTCCCCTCCTGCTATCTTCTTCTTCTTTTTTTTTTTTTTTAACATATATTATTTGTTTCAGAGGCATGGTGATTAACATAATAAAAAAAGTACAAAGGCACACTGAGTAGAAGCAATTTATAATACATCTATTAAAAAAAGGGCTCATATCCAAAATATATTTTTAAATTTCTACAAATAAAAAAAGGGCAAAAGACAAAAATAATGTATATGACTGTTAATGGAAGCATTATTCATTATAGCTTAAAAGTAAAACAACCCAGGGCGCCTGGGTGGCTCAGTTGGTTGGGCGACTGCCTTCGGCTCAGGTCATGATCCCGGAGTCCGGGGATCGAGTCCCACATCGGGCTCCCTGCTCAGCAGGGAGTCTGCATGTCCCTCTGACCCTCCTCCCTCTCATGCTCTATCTCATTCTCTCAAATAAATAAAATCTTTAAAAAAAAAAAGTGAAACAACCCAAATGTCTATCAATGGATGAATAGATAAACAAAATGTGGTCTATCAATACAATGGAATATTATTTGGTCATAAAAAAGAATGAAGTTCTGATCCATGCTACAACATGGATGAACCTTGAAAACATTATGCTAAATGAAAGAAGCCAGACGCAAAAGGCCATATATTGTATGATTCTATTTATATGATATGTCCAGAATAGTCAAATCTATAGAGAATAAATTAGTGGCTAGAGGGAGGATAAACGGGGAATGACTGCTAAGGGGCAGGAGGTTCCCTTTGGGGGTGATGAAATGTTCTAAAATGAGATGCACAACTGTGAATATTACTAAAAACCACTGAACTGTACACTTTCAATGGGTGAACTTTATGTTATGTGAATTATATCTCAATAAAGTGATTTTTTAAAAACAAGGTTATAAAATGGGGATTAATAAATATAATCACATACATATATACTGATTCTACTAATTGTATGTCAATACTAAAAATTTAATGAAATCCTATTCTTACTCAGTGGTTCTGAGTCTATAGGATTCTCTGGCAGTGGAAGAAAAAGACCTTGAGTAAGAAGGAATGAATACTTCTATCCTAGAAGCCAGCAACCCTTTATCTTTTCTAGGTAGAATATGCTCCATTGAAAGATCTGTGTCATTAATCTCTTGACCACTTGTTGAGGGGCTTCATGGTAACAGTCGATTTTTCAGCAAGAAATGTAGCTCATGATGAAGGCCATCTTCTCTCTGCAAATCTGACACAGGGACCTCCTGCCCTCCCCTCCACCAGCGGAATAACTTGCAGCTCTATGGTCCCTTAAATAAAGAAAAAAAGAGCCTCTTCCTTCATCATTCAGTAGAACCTCCCTGTTCCCTTGGTAACTTCCCCGTTCAACATACATGGCTGGCATTCTCACTCCCATGCCAACCTCACCTTCCTGGCAGCAGTGACAAGTTCTGCCATGTAGTGTTCCATGTGGGATTGAATTAAGACAAAGGCCATTAAAAATGACATCAAAGGTGGAAGAAACAGTCCACAAAACAGGAGTAGGTTGGCTATGGTGGTTTGTAGGTTTCATAACAAAGGTAGACAAATAACTTTGTGGAGTTCTGAGGGAACATACAAGTCAAAAGGGTATCAAGGGAAAATTAAAAGAAATCTTCACTTTTGTTTCAAGGGTTTTATATTAAAGGTCCCTTCAGCACAACTTTCTATTTTATTTTTTTAAAGATTTTATTTATTTATTTGACACAGAGAGAGAGACAGCCAGAGAGGGAACACAAGCGGGGGGGGGGGGGGGGCAGAAGGAGAAGCAGGCTTCCCACTGAGCAAGGAGCCCAACGTGGGGCTCCATCCCAGGACCCTGGGATCATGACCTGAGCCAAAGGCAGACGCTTAATGACTGAGCCACCCAGGTGCCCCAGTACAACCTTTTAAATCACATTTCCTAGATTGAACAAAATACACGTTCACATGCACCCTTCCAATTTTATATTCCAAACTTTGTCCTTCTAATTCCTACAAAATAAACTAGACAGACAGGCAAATACTGAATCAGAGATCACATTTTTATATAGAACTTACCACTCTCTTTTCCCTGAAATCAATGCCCACTGTCGTGATAAATTTGGAGTTAAATTTACCATCTGTGTACTGGTAAAGTACACTGGTCTTCCCTACTCCAGAGTCTCCCAAAGCTAAAAACTTGATAAGGTAATCATAGTCTCCATCAGACATAATGAAGAACTCAGTGGTTCACCTGTAAAATACAAACAAATGCATATTTACTAAAAAGCTATCAGGAAATATTAGAAGTTTCCATGAAAGTGAGTTATTTTAATATCCAGTTCAATAAGTACTACATGATACCTATATGCCTAAGGGTTCTGTGAAGAGGATTAGATAGTATTCACTGCCCCCAAGGACCTAATAATTTGCTAGATGAGATGTTACTAATAAATAACAGCTTAATTTAAATTTAATGTGCATATTATAGTACCATTAAGACAAAAATTCCGAGTCACAGTAAAAATTAAGACAACCAGCACTAAGTCTTACATGCAGATCACATAGAACAAAAATTTTGAAAAGAAAGAAGGAGAATGTTAGAGGAATAATAATAATTCTTAGAGTGCAAGTGGTTCCAACTCCCCCCTTCTTTTTCAAAGTCTCCTGGTGCCCTTTTCATGATTTGTTTTTATTCTCTAAATAGAGTCCAACTTCTCAAAATATCAGTCCAACTGAAAATGTTGTCTGTCTCCTGGGAAGACTTACTTCATTTTATGCTCCCATTTCTGATACCAATAAACCCTCCAGAAAATTAGAAAAATAATCAGTTCTCCCACTACCACTGACAACTCCACATGCCATTCAAATGCATATTTACCTATCCACATACACATCAGATGCCCTACATTAGATGCTGATTTTCCTCTCAGTGTCTATTTTCACTAAGCCTCACATTGAGAAACTTTACTACAATTCTCAATGCTTCCTATAAGATTATATCTATAGATCCATAAAATTAATAAAAGCTCAAGCAAGGACATTTATTGATTTTCAAGTTTTCTTCCCCCCCACCCCATCCTCAATTTGGTGACTCACCTTATGTTCAAAATTCCTGACCCCCAAGAACCACTGCAATTTACTTCCTCATAGTGCCTTAGTAAAGATCTGGGACCTCATATTCAGATATGGCTGGTCAGCTGATAAGGGCAGAGACTCCACAAACATTCATAATTCTATTTGCACACTATAAAGAATGACACTTCACAGATGGTGGCTTCCCTACATTATAGCTTCTGTATTCACAAGTTTAGGTTGCAGTATTAATGGTATATGACAGAATTCCTCTCCAGAAGCGGACCAATAGGGTACAAATAAATATTCTAGTACGTCATATCATAGGATCTCATTTGGCTCCAAGTTGTTCATTAATTAGAGCTAAGAATTGAAAAGCAGGTCCAGATAACGTTTAATCATTTTGGAGGTTCCCCTCAAAATGAATGAGGAAGCAGAAAGCAACTCCAAATTCTGCAATGAGAATGATACAACACTTACTTCCTCTTTACTTTTAATTTGAACCAAGGGTGGTCATTCCTATGCCTATGTTTTTATATCATTTAAGGTACAGGAGAAAATGAATGTCTCCAATGGCATCACTTTTCTAGAATTCTCTAAATCCACTTGAATGGAATTCAAAGACAGATGAAACTATATCTGCTGCACCAAAATTTTATGTTTAGTTATCATGGGAGAAGAATCACACATATAAATCTAAAAATGCTCTTTGTGGGTTTTTCTATTCATATTGACAGCGATACATAACAGTTTGTTCCCAAACCAAGCCATCATAAAGGAAGTATTAAACCAAATACCACAACTGAAGGTATATAAATTTCACTGTCAATATTAATCATAGTTTGCATTCTTCAGATCGCACCTCTAGGCAATTATCTGCCTTGTTGATCTGAAAATAATTGTCCAGACCTTTCACTCTCTGGGTTCAGTTTTCTTTTTTCTTTCTTTTTTTTTTTTAAAGATTTTATTTATTTGAGAGAGAGAATGAGAGAGAGCACAAGAGGGAAGAGGGTCAGAGGGAGAAGCAGACTCCCTGCTGAGCAGGGAGCCTGATGTGGGACTCAATCCTGGGACTCCAGGATTATGACCTGAGCCGAAGGCAGTCGCTTAACCAACTGAGCCACTCAGGCACCCTGGGTTCAGTTTTCCAAAGGATGAAATAGAACCCAGAGAGGTTAACTCATTTGCACAGTCTAGAATATAAATCCCTTAATTCCAAGTTCAATGTCCAGTCTACCTCCAAGCTTACTGTCTGTTACTCAAACTTCCACAAATGCATGTTGGGCTTAAAGGTGACCAGGTATGGTATCATACAAGGTAGCCTAATAGGAAACACATGACCTCCGAAGTCAAGCTGAGCTGGGCTAAATTCCATGTCTCCCACATGCCTCAAATGTCTCTTGCGTCTTGGACAGGTTTCTTTCCTGTGAAAAAGAAGATACTATGTACACTCCCTCACACCATTGTTCTAAAGATTGAACAAGATACTCTCTGTGAAGCACCCAGCACAGTGCTTAGCATATACTGGATACTCAGTAAATGTTAGCTAACCCTCTTCACCCCATTCTGGACAGATTGGACCGGCTCTAAAGACCTCGAACAATCTCTGAAATTGCCTCTGAGTAGCTCAAAACATATTTCTAGCACAAAGGATTTCTGATTGGCTCAGAGTCCTTTGCCGAGTCAACACATCACTTTCAAAGTAATTCTGATCTTTTTTGGCCAATTTAAAGCAATTTCCTTTTAAATTGACATGCCTATTGCAAAAGAAGTTATGACCAGCCTAAAAACAGGTTCAAATCTGTATAAAACACTGCAGTCCATTCTATCAAGCTCATACTTTTTCAAAAAAATCTGAATGGTTCATTTTAGTTCAGAATGAAAGAATCAAACCTCAAAGAGGTTACAACTACAAAACTATTTCTGACTGAGTTAAAGCTATTTTGGCTAAAACTAAATATATCTAATGAAAATTACTGGGGTCTGGTTTCAATAGCTCAAACTGCTTCAAAAAGTTCTGACCTGGAAGGCATGTTCTGACTGGCTCACATGAGGTTTGATTGGTTTGGAGTATATTTTACTGAGTCAAATTAGTGCTGACCAGTTAAATCTCTTCAACTGGGTCATACTTGCTCTAATTTTATCAAACTGCTTATAACTAATTCATGTCATCTATAAAATTGCTTTTACTGTCTTAGACTAATTAAAAACTGGTTCAAACCAGTCCAAGTTGACTGATCAGATGTTCAAACAGTTCAAGACTAGAAATGTAAAACGATAAACAGAAACACAAAAAGCAATGGTTTAGTGCTTTAAACATATGCTGAACCAAAACACTTAAGTTTTTACTTATAATTACCTCAGTTGCAGATAGTCTATACACCCAATTTATCTCCAACACAATATAGTTTCTTTCTACACTTGAATGGTTTGTACGTGTTGGAGAACAGTAAACAGGTTGGGAGAAAGGAATATGGGCATGATGGCAGAGAATATGATAAACAATAGGAAAAGGTGTGATGAATGACAGAGGCTTCCTTGGTTGACAACTCCACCATTCACTTTATCTCAGGGACCTGGCAGCAAAACATTAATCCGTGATCCAACAATAGAAGAGATTTCAAGTTAAGGAAAACCTGTAGCAAATTTGGAAGCTATGTAAAGTGTCTCCTAAATTGGTCACAATGACTAGGCTAGTCTGGGTTAACAGAGACCAGAATTCTAAAAAAGTAAGGAAGATGCAAGGAAATAAAAGGACTCAGGAAGGAAGCAGGCCTCCAAATTGATAACAGAGATTTTTCAGGGTTTGGGTAGGGTATTGATGGTGACAAGCTTCTTATTGGAGTTTGCAGCCAGTTAGTCAAATCCCAGAATTAGTGGAACCATTCCATCTTTCAGCAGAATATAATTCTGGTGCAAACTATAACCCCAAACCCATCTTGCAGTCCCATATATGTGTATCACCACTGCTTATCACCACCAGATGAAGAAAACTTAATGTTAAGTTTCAGCTGCTGGTAGGTCTTCATATAGAACCATATTCATATTAAAAATTATTTTTCTTTCTTATTTTTGTTATTCAAGTCTTGAGTGGTATTTGAGGGGCCTAGTTTCCATAAAGAAAATACTCTACTCCCCAAGTATGGAAATAACATATTGTTTTTATGTTGGCATTTTAGAGCAGAAAGGGAAACACTGAAAACACACAGTGCAGAATTTGACATTTGGGACACCCAAACAACATTTTGTGCATGCTATTTGCAGTGAGCATTCCAGCCTATTGATGCTTAAGGAGCCAGTTCATGAAGGCTTTTCCCAATTGCATTATTCTTGCTAAAAATGGGTCAGAAGCCTAGGTCAGATGCCCACACACCAAGTACTTTACAATCCTTATCACAGCCCTAAAGTCAGGTGCTACATACCATGCACACTTCCTCTCAGAAGGATCTCAGTGCCATTCTATCATGAATGCCCCAATGAGAAGACAAGTAAGTGGGTCTTGGGCAGTCTATTCACATGCTAACATGGGCTCAATTCCTACACATCGTTGAGAGAAAAGAAAGAGGTCAACAATATGGACTCTAGAACCAAATGACCTGGATATGAATCCAGTCATTCACTTTAGAAAATTTAATCCCTTGGGGTGTCTGGGTCACTCAGTTGGTTAAGCGACCGACTCTTGATTTCAGCTCAGGTCCTGATCTCAGGGTCCTGAGATCGGCCTGCGTCAAAATCTGTGCTCAACTCGGAGTCTGCTTGTCCCTCTCCCTCTGCTCCTCGGCCCCCATACACTCTTTCTCTCTCTCCCAAATAAATAAAAGCTTTTTAAAAAAATAAAAGAAAAAATTTTAAAGAAAATATAATCCCTTTTGCCTCAGGTTCCCCCATTTTAAAAATGGGAATGATTTTTTTAAATTAATTTTTGTTTTATTAATTCTAGCATGCATATGCTTTCTCATTTTAACTTTATAATCGGGATGCATCTTACATTTCATAGTCTTACAACCCATGACGTCTTGCAATTATTACTAAATGAGGTGGCACTGGAGATTGTTATGTGAAAACCTTGCGTTAGCAATCTTCTAGCAAGATCACAAATGCACCTTCAACACATTTTAGATTTGATGCAGCAGTAAACTTATCTCAGAGGGCTGGCATGAGGACTGAGTTAATGAATAC